AATGGGAACTTCACTGCATATAGACACGTGGACTTGGACTTCTGGATCATTATGATTTGGGTGATCAAATGGAAAATCCAACCATCCTTTTGGTGAGGAACAAAATAGATCTTTGATTTTCTGCTATGCAACAGGAAACTTGCTATGACTTATATAGCATAAACATTTTGGGCTTTCTATCTTTAGGAGTTTTGGGTGTCATTAAATCACAATAGACACCAGAATTTTCATTTATTTACTTTTCTTCAACAATAGTTTTCAATTTCACTGCCTGTCCTCCCCTTGTGCTTGATTTCTAACTCTTTAGAGCTGTCTCACCACTATTTTTCACCTTTACTGCACCTTCCAGATTGATCCTAATAAAAAAAAAATCTTCCCACGTTTGAAAACCACAAATAAATAAAACAAATGTGTTGAATGCTCAGAAGCACTACAGTGAAAGTTACTTGAATGTTTAGAATCACCAGAAAAAGAACAAAGAATGAAACAGGATTCTTTATCTTTGTACTATTGTAGCATTGTGTGAAATAGTTCCACCCAGCACAGTGTGCACATTTCTGGTCTCTAAATTAATAAACTATTGCAAGAGGTAAAGAAATTTCTGAGAAAAGTGATAAAGGTGATTTAATGCTTAAAATGGCTTCTCTACTAAGCATACTAGGACGCCTTCAGAACAATGACCACTATTGACTGAAGATGTTTTTGCTTATCTTTATTACCTAGGAGGTCAGTGGTTAAATCTATCAAACTTAGAGAAATCTAATCTAATCATAAAATTAGTTACAACCAAAGGGTTACTGATATCAGAAATGGTGTCAAATTTTCATTGGCAGTTTTCTTAAGTAAATGGATGCTTACTCTATACGCTTTTTTGGAATCAGAGAGAAGACAGAAAGATGATGTGTGGAAAGAAGAAATCTCTCTCCTCACAAAAAATCAATTCTGGACTACAGAGCTGCTTGCACAAGTCCTAACACTGGTGGTAAATAGATCATAAAGTGATCCACTCAATTACATGCATGTCCTGAAGATCAAGTATGCTTTTTCCATAACGTAAAATAAAAGAAATCTCCTACCCAAACAAAAAACTGACTCTACCCTTCCTCCCCCACCAACTCTGGCCAAAACACAAAATCAAACCAACAAACAAAAAACTTACCCTCAAAAAAGCTCCTATTCAAGAGTTTAATTACTGTTTTTTTTCCCTGGGCTTCCAAGCTGCTAGCATCGTTGTTTATGCTGGTATTCTCATGATCCTCTCAGAATCTACTTGTGAAGGCCATAGAGGAATCCCATGACAGGAAAAACCTGTGGCTTCCATAGGAAGAGGATTAGTTTTCTATTTGAAAGCCCTCCCCACATGAGAAAAAGACTATCATTTGTATGCAGAGTGCAGAGGCCTGAAACAATCAGCCTCTCCAAGATGTGATACACACAGGTGCCTCCTGGAGAGGAAAAAAGGTTTGTTTGCATCAGCCTCGTTACTATGGCAGGGTTGTTTCTGTACCATGCAGCCATGCATGAGGTTTTCTAGGACAGAATGGACAAAGAGAGGGGAAGGATGTAATGATCACAGGCTCCTGATGGAAGTATTGTATCATGTAGGATGGTCCATTGTTCTCTCAGCTTTGATGCCTGCAAAATTAAAATAATATTTTCTAACAGAGCAAGCTGAAACATCCCAACTGCTCCTTGGGTTGTTTTGGCTTCGTGGTGGGTTGTTTAGGGTTTCGTTTGTTTGTTTTTGTTTGGTTGTTGTTCTTTTTTTTTTTCCCCCTTAGCCTGGGCAGCAGCCACGGTATAAACAGAGGTCAAAAAACACGAACCAGCAGTTGACAAAAGGAACAGTAGAAGCAGTGAGAGCACAGGCTGGTTTTAGCAGCAGTCACAGCGAGATGCTCGTCATTCACGGCGGTGCTGCCCTGCAGACTGATCTTCCTGGGCTGCGGATTAAGGAAAAGAAAATGACTCGTGGGAGCGGGGGCTGGGAGGACGGGAAGCGGCGGCAGGAAAGCTAAACACAGGGAGATGGAGGGGAAGGGAAGGGGGAGGGAGAAGGAGGAGGAGGAGGGAGGAGGGGAGCCGCTTCCCGGGCAGGATTGGTTGGAAATTGCTGCAGCGCAGGCGGGCGGTGCCTGCGGCCCCCGCTCCCCGCCGGGCGGCCGAACCGAGCCGCGTTACGGCCCCGGGGGGATGCTCCGAACCCAATGGGGGGACGCTCCGAACCCAAGGGGCCTCCCCTCCACCCAGCTGTGCCACAGCAATGACGGGGATGTCACAAGATGCAAAGGGAAAGGCACACAATTAGCTACGGCTCTCGGCAATCCGATTTTCTGCTGGTACCAGACAGGCTTAAAGCGTTCTTTGTGACCTGCAAACAACCGCAGTTTTCTGCTGCGTTTCTACAGCTTTAGAAGCTGGAATTGGCTTCCGCTTCCACACAAACTTCCTGGGCGTCAGCATCAATGCCTTCAAAACTCTGTAAATGGAGACAAATGAATTTCTTACGTGTTTACCAAAGTCCAAACTTATCTTGTACTATGTATATCAGAGAAATAAACAGTAACTTACTCTTTAAAAAGTGCTTTTGCTGTCTAAGCACGTCTGGGTTTAAGTGTTTAAGAAAAGTAAATTACTAATGGTATTATTCAAATTATATATCTAGAATAATACCAGATTTGTAAGACATTCCAACTGTATTTTATTTCGGTATGTTACGTAAGGCTGCAGAAAGATAATAAAGAAACTAAAAATTTGAGTGAAGAAATTTGAGAGTAATTTAATAAAAGAAGTATAAAAGCTTAACCTTTGCACAGACTATGTGATGCAAATGTTCATTTAAGTTTCACAAGGAAGAGCCTGGAGCATCGTGAGCATAGCATTGGTATTAGGTAGTTAATTCCACTCACGTTTGCTCTAGGTAAATACTTGAGCTTGCCTACATCATTGATAAAATTTCTAGTCTAAAGCACATTCTCATGAAACAAAAAAAAAAACAAACCCAACAAAACAAAACAAAACAAAACAAAACAAAACAAACAAACAAAAAATCAGCAAAAAAGAAAATATTACATCTTCCTCTAAGACTTTGGAAGACTGCTTACTACCAAGGGAGTTGGAACAGTATTTCTATCCTGCCCTCAATCAGATCACTAGAGAAAAATCAAGCATATATAGTTTTTATAAAACAAACAAAGCAAAACAAAACAACAACAACAAAAAAAAAACAAACACCAAAAAAAAAACCTCAAAACCAAACCAGCAAAAAACATACCAAAACAATGTGAATAAGATTTTTGGAAAGAAATTAATATTCAAGGACTTTTTCTGGCACTATATGATTACTAATACAAAGCCTAATAATAAATGTTCTTGTATAACGTCACTTTTTTTAAACTCGATTCTCAGCATCCTTCTGAATGTTTCTGCAACTGAGCATAGTTTTATTTTGTTGGTTGTTTTTTTTAAAAAATATTGTATTGCAAATTATCTTTCCCTGCTTTATGGAAAAACAAAAAGCTATTGGGTAACTACAGGTTAAGTAACATTTACTTGGAAGCAAGCAATCTGAGAGATTGCACTACCTATGTTATCGTTAGTGCTTTACAGCATAAGGATATATTTTGTGTGGACTTAAAGTTCAAAAGTGAATTAGGGTCATATGATATTAAATGTTTATTTCATGACCAGAAGCATATGTGATGCACTGTTCTTAAATCTAAAGCCTTCCTCCTTTTTGAGAATTTAGGATGGATAGATGAAACTAAATTTGGGAAGGTAAACTCCACATCTGCAATGAAATAAAATACCGTGTTTTTATAAAAGCACCACTTTTAACTCTCATTTGTCACATACTCGAAGAGGCCATATAATATATTTCACTCTTTTATTTCAATAAATAAAAACCTTTTATTTAACTGTGGTATGCAAACAGAGAATATGTTCATTTATAACAAGCAGTTACCCGAGGCAGAAGACCATATTGCCTTTCTACATTAATTGTGAATGACTGGTCAGGAGAAATACGGATATGCAGTAATTGTACAAAAAACATTCTAGGCATGATTTAGCTGAAGAAAAAGAGGATTTAGCATACAGAACTCATCAATTCTCCGGTACTAACAAAAATATATTTAAACCCATCATGAAAATGCTGTTGGTGGCATATAGAATGCAACAATATTTAAAAATGTCTGTATAAGGAAACTGAGCTCATTACCTGAGCTCAAGGAGGAAACATGGCTAGAAAGACAGAGAATGAAATATTGAACTTAATGAATTAAATACTGAGCTTAACAAGTTTCTAGTGAAGAACATAATGGAAAAACAAAATAAACACTTTATAATTATAATCTACCCATATCTTATTTTAAAATTGTTAAGGTACATGTATTTTTAAAACATCAGCAGGGGGAAAGGGAAATAAGAAAAACCTTATCAAAACCAAAACAAACAATTACTAAGAGAAGTAGAACATAAATACTGAGGTGCCTGAGAAGGAAGTATGAACTATTCTCTTGAAGAGAAATGCTCCCTCCTCACATCATGTTTTCAAGGGCAAAAATGAAGCCTGGGAGGCCTCTGTTTCAGGATTTTCAAATGGCCCAATCAGAACCTTGTACAAATCAATTCCCTTCTCCAGGCCCACGTAATCTCTTCCTTCTCTACTAAATATAGACCAATAGAAGGTTATATTGCCAAATATGCAAAATACAGCAAAATTGAGATTATGAAGCAAACAAGCAAAAAAAAAAAAAAATACTGAAGTGTTTTAAACCTAATTCTAGCCTCAAATTTCAGAATGGTTGCTAATAAAGTCCTGCTGTTACTGCTGTTTCAAAGTCCAGCTCTAAATGATAGATGATTAATGCAATTTTTTTCAGTAGAACAGAGATGATTAAAAAGGAGGGGGGGAAAAAGAAAGAAGAAAAGAAAAAAAGAAGCCAAAAAAGGGAAAACAGACAAAAGAAAACCCACAGGAAACAAATAAAAAATTAAACAACAAACCAACAAGCAACCAAAGGAAAACAACTCAACCTGAAAATTGTTTAAGAATCATATACCGCTTAGAAACAGACCCACGATTCTTATCTTGTTTCCCAGCAAGACTTCAGCCGGGCACTCCCACGTTATCTCTCTCTGCTTGAAAAACATTTTCCATTAACACAACGCCCCAGTGACTCACTCCTCCGCCTCCTGAGGCGGAACACTGAAAAGGAAAAAAAAAAAGAAAAAGAAGGAAAAAATAATTTAAAAAAATTTCCTCGCCTTAGTTCTCAAAGGATGATTTTAAAGAACAAAGGAAACAACCTATCCGGCCCTTAGGCAGCCTCGTTCGGAGGCTCCTGGCGTTGCATTCCTGCCTTCCCTTCGGGCACTTTCCTCTTCCGCATAAAACATTGCTGAACGAAAAACAAAACTAAAGCGTCATTTACCTACATCCGTTCTAACAAAGGAGGGAACGCGGTGTTTTTTACAGTGGGAAAAAGAAATAAAGGGGAAAGAAAAGGAAAAAACCCCACAAATTAACCTGTTCAGAGGAAAGAGAGGAGAGAGGAGCTGTCGCCGTCTCCCAGCAGTGAGGCCACCCCGAGGCACCAATGGCGGAGAAGCTCCTCCCTGTAAATCCCGATCCCTCGCGTGTTATCGTGATTTATAAGCCTCTGACACCCCAAGAGAGGGATGCGGTGCCTGGCGGCTTCAGATGCCACCACTGTCACATCGCCAAGGCCGTGCGCTCCTTCTCGGGGTGAAAGGGGCTACTGCAGTCAAGCAGGCCCAGGCTGTCTTAGAGACCGAGGGCCCCAAAAAAGACAACAAAGGCTACCAAATCAAAAGAAGTTGTACCGAAGAGCTCAGCGAAGCCAAAGGCAGTAGTACCCAGGAGACCATACTGTATAAGTCAAGGAAACATTTGCAGGAAAATGCCAAGAGCACTTTTAAACACTACCCATGCTGTCAGGATGAAGGGGAAAGAATTAAAACATCCGTTCAAGTTCAGACAAGTACATCATGACTCCCTTCGTGTGTATGTGACTTTATGTAGTGCTTCTAACACGAACTCACACTCGAGCCAATTCTGTAACTGTCATCACCATCACTTAACTCAGAATTCCTGACGCTACCTTTTGGAAACCCTCCTGGACTGCACCCCAAGCAAGTACTTACATTTTTCTTGCTATTGCCTGAAAGCTCTAAGTTGCAGATAAGACAACAGAGATCCACGGAAAGCAGAAAACCGCTGCCACCGCTGCGCACAAGGCACTGGAATCCCTCTTCCACCCGCAGCACGGGGACGGCCGCGGCTCGCAGGGAGAAGAGGGGCCCCGGTGCCCCGCGGTTTGAAAGCCGCGCGCTCCAGCAGGATTGGCCGCGGCCGCCCCGAACCCGCCCCGTCCTTCCTGCCCCGGGCAGAGCGGCGCTTCACCCCCGGCGGGATTCATCGGAAGGGAGGGAGGGCAGCTGGCAGCGAGCTCACACTGGGCAGTTCACTTCTCAAACCATACTGCGGTGATCGATTTAATCAGTCGCGACCGCTACCTTTTATTGATTTTTTTTTTTTTCGAAAAGAGAAACTGACGCACGTTTACATTGGTACTATAACTTCTAAGATAAAGAGAAAAGGCAGGAAGCTACAGATCAGCAAGGCCGAACGTAAATACATCTAACGTTTTAAGACACTCCCCAGAGATTTCAACTTTCCGAGTATATTAACACAGCACGTATTCGTGGGATCAAGCGTTCCTGCTCTTTTTAGGAAAATGTGGGTGGCTCTGAAAAGAGCCTTTGGGTTGTTTGTCAGATCAGTTTTACTTGGCTTTAGCCTTGTGGCTGTCGGTCTTCTTGGGCAGCAGCACGGCCTGGATGTTGGGCAGCACGCCGCCCTGCGCGATCGTCACCTTGCCCAGCAGCTTGTTGAGCTCCTCGTCGTTGCGGATGGCGAGCTGCAGGTGGCGGGGGATGATGCGCGTCTTCTTGTTGTCGCGGGCCGCGTTGCCCGCCAGCTCCAGGATCTCGGCCGTCAGGTACTCGAGCACGGCCGCCAGGTACACCGGGGCGCCGGCGCCCACGCGCTCCGCGTAGTTGCCCTTGCGCAGCAGGCGGTGCACGCGGCCCACGGGGAACTGCAGCCCGGCCCGCGACGAGCGCGACTTGGCCTTGGCGCGCGCCTTCCCGCCCTGCTTCCCGCGGCCGGACATAGCTCAAAATGCACAAAAATAGACCCGAATAGGTCAAAAAGCCGCGCAAAAATAAAGCCAAAACGCAGCCAAAAAGAGTGATTGCACCAAGACAGTCAACTCTGCCTTTTTATAGCTTCCTTCTGAGGTTCGCTTGGACTTCTGATTGGTGGAGAGAAGGATTGTGAATTTACCCAATGAGAATGCAGATGAGTAAGTCGACCAATGAAAGATGCGCCCTATTTGACGTCACGGGCAATAGTTGTCCAATGGACAAGGACAGTGTCGAGTCATCTTATTTGCATACCGTCCCTATAAATAAGGGGGGACTCAGCTTCTCTGTCTACGTCGTTCCTGCAGCAGTCAGGTAAAGACAAACCGGTAAAATGCCGGAACCAGCTAAGTCAGCTCCCGCTCCCAAGAAAGGTTCTAAGAAAGCTGTCACCAAGACTCAGAAAAAAGGTGACAAGAAGCGTAGAAAGACTAGGAAGGAGAGCTACTCCATCTACGTGTACAAGGTGCTGAAGCAGGTGCACCCCGACACGGGCATCTCGTCCAAGGCCATGAGCATCATGAACTCCTTCGTCAACGACATCTTCGAGCGCATCGCCGGCGAGGCGTCGCGCCTGGCGCACTACAACAAGCGCTCCACCATCACGTCGCGGGAGATCCAGACGGCCGTGCGGCTGCTGCTGCCCGGCGAGCTGGCCAAGCACGCCGTGTCCGAGGGCACCAAGGCTGTCACCAAGTACACCAGCTCCAAGTAGGGCGTCTCGGACCATTTCTTTACCCAAAGGCTCTTTTAAGAGCCACCCATATATTCAGTAAAAGAGTCGATCACACTGATTCTTTTCGGTGAGTGGTACTTGTGCTTGGTAGTGTTGCAGTCTATGGGTTAGAATATGCTATTAAAAGATTAAGGGAAAATGCTTATCCTGTTTAAACATGCGGAAAGATTTAGGTAGTCTTGTCTGTCCCGTTCTGACAGTTGGTACCGCAGATTTATAAAAAGCATGTTAAGTGCCTGAGTTTTAAATCTATTAACGGTTTATTTCTTCGTTTTAGTGTATCTATTCGTTTTAGTTACTGACAATGACGGTTTGTTGTCCTCTTTAAATACCAGATGTCATTCTGAAGTGACTTGGTTATAAGCCAAAATGGCTTGTTTACCCGGGAAACTAGAGATTAGTCTGTAATAATTAAAAGACGACGTTTAATGAAATCTATAGCGGCAAACACAGCAGATGCCTAACGGTATAGACAACAGCATAATTTTATTAGTCCTAGAGATTTCATAAGTGGTGTACTTTATTAAGGTCTCCGACAGAGTGGAGAATTAAGCAATCCCTAAGTTGCAACACAACAGGAAATTAAGAGTGAATATAAGAGACTCAAGGAGGGAAAATGTAAAAAAAGAAAAAAGAAAAAAAAAAAAGCAAAACACAAAAATCAAAAAGCAAAAAAACACCAAAAATACCCCCACAAAACCAAAAAGGGAAGATGAGCGCTTCAACGAGCCTCGGGGAGCTCAGGATGCGCAGAGAAGGCTGTATTTGGGTAAACACGCCTTTTACGAAGAGGTTAAATGGTTAAATCCTGATTATCCCGGGTAGAGGCCCCGAGAAAACTACTGCAGAGCTAGAGTAAAAATTCCGCGTCTGCTGGCGGGCTGCGGCTGTGGGAGCGCTCCGGGCGGTCGCCAGTGCCGCTCGGCAGGGCGGAGCTGAGGGATAAGAGGAAAGGGAGCGCAGCTGCTCCCGGGGAGGGCGGGGCGGAGCGGAAGCCGCGGCAGCCCCCGCCGGCCGCCTCCCGCCCAACCCAACGCGCGAGTTTTTCAAATTCTGCCCCTTGTCCAATGGCAGCCGTCTCCTCGCGCTGGCCAATCACAGCGCTCTGGTGGCCATAAATAGCGGCCCCTGTGGCTGCTCGAGGCTCAGTTTCTCTTCTCTCTGCTGCTGGGGTTGTCCTGCGGGAGATGGCGCGTACGAAGCAGACAGCGCGTAAGTCGACGGGCGGGAAGGCGCCCCGCAAGCAGCTGGCAACCAAGGCTGCCCGCAAGAGCGCGCCGGCCACGGGCGGCGTCAAGAAGCCGCACCGCTACCGGCCCGGCACGGTGGCGCTGCGCGAGATCCGGCGCTACCAGAAGTCCACGGAGCTGCTGATCCGC